TGAGCAGATATTTGAAGTTTACACAGCTACATTCTCTCTGAAAATATGTTAAACGTTTATTTTGTGACCCAGAAAGAATAATAAGAGTAAGATTAAAACTAACTAGCTGCCGCCATTTTTGGAAACTGAGCAGGGCCGCGCTATGAATTCTGGGATAGGCTGGGCCACGAAGCGACCCATCCTTCAAATCTGAGGAAAAGCAGGGCGCATTTATCGGCCGCATATGTCGGAGTCTTCGAATTTGTGTCGCTGTAACGTAATCGGCCTACAAATGCAGCCTCAGGAGGATGCGGTTCCTGAATTTGGACACAGCTACGATACCGGACACTGCTTCTTCTTCTTCGGGGTTTAACGGCAGCTGGCATCCCTGTACATGCTGTGCTGTCATCTTCTGTTTCAGTCCCTTATTACACTTTTAAATTCTACTACTTATTCTTGCGTCTTTCGGGATCTTACAAAGCTTCAAACGACGCGTCGACTATTAAATTAGTCGTCAACGATTTTGATAGTTGACGTAATCGTGACTAGTCGACTAATCGTGGCAGCCCTAGTTCATATAAAAAAGCTCTTCTATACGTGCTCAATGTTAAACTGTTTGACTATATACATAATTAATTACTGATATGGTCAAAACCACAGATTAACTACCTAACGTTAGGTGGAAGCGGTTTACTATTCAGAATAAACACTAATATTAATGTGAGTCACTCGTTAAACACGCCAATGCCAAAAGATAATAAATAGCCAATAATAGCCGATAACCTCAATTTGCTGATAAATCAGTCAGGCTCTAAGTGTAAGTGAATAAAACAGAAAGTCATGCGTCTCAAACTTGCTTCGTAGTAAAGGAACCAACTTAAAGGACCACCACCTTTGAGATATTGCAGCATCAATCAAGATAAAGCCAAATATTATATTTTTGTTAAAAGAGCCACTGAGTAGATTTATGGTTGTGGATCTGTAGTTTCAGTTTATGTACACTTTATACACCCCAAGAATCCTACAAATGCAAATATGCAAATGTTTGGTCAATGTTTTTCAAAACAAAACAAACTGGTTATGTCTGATAAGACAGTGTAAAGTGACAGCCTTTACTCTAACAGTCTCTAACTCTTCCCTGGAGCTAACTCTACAATTACACTGGTACAAAAAGAAAATGTAACAAAATAACACTAAAAATATGTAAGAAAGCATCATTAATATCATCTAACATATACACACCTGACCAATCACTTTTAATTTGATGTACTCTCCGTCTTTTTTATCCCCTCCGTCTTGGCTGGATGGTTTTGTCTCCTAAAAATAAACAAACAAACCGTAAATAAACAAAACACCTCCAAGCACGACACACACACACTCATATATATATAAATATTTATTTAATTCCAGCGCGACTCGACACCCGAGTGTCACTGCTTTGGAAAACCATGTCACTCTGTTTTGTAACAGTTTCTGTTTCGTATTACTGCCAACAACCGTTGCTCCACAGCAGAACTTTAAATAAGAAACCAGAGCTAGCCGCTAGCTGCTAGCTGCTAAAAAAGCTGTGAATTCAGGCCCGAAGCTACACGAGCTAAGAGCTAGCATATTAGATAAGTCGATACGAGCCAGCGGGCATAAATAAACACCAAGCAGCCTTTCCCCGTTTTCTGCTGGTGACAAAACAACACAGAGCCTTCGGAGCGCATTTCTTACCGTATCTGACATGCTTTTTCTCTGTGTGTGCCCAGGAAAATACACTGACAATAGATGAAGCGTTAGCTCACAGGCGCAGCTCCTGGTTGATGTTATTCGACAGCCGGAATTGACGCATGGGGTTGCTTCTTTCAAAAATAAGAGTCTCTCCAAAGTGAAGCACAGACATGATCGTTTAATTTTGAAAAATATAGTTGGGGTCGATAAGCTTTACTCTCAAAAGAGCAAATTTTACCCTATTTTGTTTGTAAAAAACAAACAAACCCAAAAACAAAACAACAACAAAAACACACTTGAGCCCTATAATAAAGCCTATTACATATAAATTACCCTGTATCCATGTTACTAATAGGTGTAAATGATTAAAATGTATTCCTATCTTCTTTATTACCAAATAAACTGAATAATTTTGGTACAAAATAACCAGTAATATGCTCTGCCGACCGCTTTGAGCCCTACTTGTGATTTTACAAATACAGAAATTTTTGACATAAGCTACTTTTACAACAGAATTGGTTTTTTTTAATTGCCAGTTTTGATGTAATTTTGACTAAAGTACAGATGTAGATTAACCTTGTTGGAAGTGAAAGAAACCAAATTTGTCCACATACTTAGTTAGAATTGTTAGCTGAGAAGACCCAAGGCTTGAGAATTCAGCAAACAGGCTGCACATTTTTACAGTCATAGAATATGAAGGGTTCCTTACACTAGTGCTGAATAAAGTTCCAAAAATAAATATCCACTGATCACATTTATATAGTGTTTTTAAAGGAAGAGGAAGCCATTGGAGATGGGTAAAAAAAAAAAAAAAAAAAGCCACATGTAGCGCAGATTTGTGACCCTGAAACTGTGGCCTGTTGTTATGAGGCCAGGCTACGGTTTGTCTGTCCAAGAAGGCTGACCAAGATAAAAACAGCAAAGGTCCACATATTGGACAGCTGTATTATAACATATCACACGAAGAACTATATAAATGTATGTAACTTCATGAATGTGAATTTCCCCATAACAGGTTATTTTTACAACAAGTGGCTCCGTGGTGTAGTGGTTAAAAAATTTGAGAGGGTGGAAACACAAACTCAGTCTCCATTCAGTGTACTCAGGATATGTGCTGGTCCCAAGCCTGGAAAAATGGGAGGGTTGTGTCAGTAAAGACATCTGGTGTGAACTCTGTGCCATGGCAACAACTTTTGCACATCTATCGGCTGTGGCACACCCTTGGGCACAGCCAAAAGTGTTGTTTCAAAAATCTTTTGATTATTCTAAATCTACAAATTGTTACAACACTGAGTGAAACCCCCAATATCAGACAGCCCCCTATGAGCAAGCACTCGGTGACAGTGAGGAAGAAGAACTCCCTTTTAATAGGAAATGAACTTCCAACACACGCAGAATGAGGGAGGGTCGGCCATCTGCCCCGACTGGTCACCAAGGCAGACCATTTTACGATATAATATATGCATAATCTAATGTTTGAC